ACATGTTTATAGATAATTCATGGTACGTAACCGCAAGTCAAATCGGAGTAATTACAACAGGTTGTAACGTTTAGAGTAATCGTGATTTGATGACCCATGGAAACGCATGATTGCAATTACGAATCCCAGCCGAAAATGGGGTTGAGTTGATGAGCCTGCTGAAGAAATATGAATTAGGTTAGAATGAAGATATCAAGACCAAGTTGTTGTGGCTTCTGGTATGGTCTCAGTATCTTTTCGATTTATAGAAGCGGGTTAACCTCGTTTTTACAACTTGCTCTTGTTGTCAGGGCGACTTAGTAGAACGCACCTAGCCCGAAGTCGTTTGCCATAATAGTTGTCATAATTCTCAGCATCGCAGACGTTTCGTCGGCATCGTCAGTGAGTCTCGCCATTATTAACACCACACAACAACTCGTCAAAGAGACAAGTGAAGCCGATCATCTGACCAAACGTGTTCTAAACAGTTGGAGTATCTCCTCGTCTATGCCTTTCTATGCCTTAGCCTCTTGTGTGCCAACCCACAAATGTTAGAGTACGGCTTGCTTTGATTAGGTTCAATGTTGAACCACGACGTTTTTGTGTTGGCACACAAGAGACTAGGGCAGCCGGACAAAGAAAACAATTGTAAGGCAATCCTGCAATTGGGCCTTCTTGAATTGATGCAATCATTATGCTATCTCTCCCCGATTCTGCAATTTAATGAAAAAGTATCATTCGGGCATAGTCAATGAAATACTTTATCACGCCTCCATCCAGAAATTAGAGGAAAGTTACGAGACTGAGAGGCGTAAGCTATTCAAGTTCATATATCTCAAGTCTAGATTAAGGAAGGATCTAGGTGGGGTTCTCACTTTGGAGGATTTTCAAAAAACTCTAGAGTGTGACAGACAAGAAGTCACAGAGGGTCCGGGATCTGATAAATAAGCGGCATTACAAGAAATTGCTTAGCTATGGGATAATAAGACAACGCAAGACCAAGCTAACCCCGGCAAATTTTGATAGTTTTGTATTGAAGGAATCAACTGCAATAGACGACGATAGGGCTACGGTTGTAAACCTCTCTTTAATTCCCATGGCTTCTGAAACTATGAATCTCTTGAGGAAGGGGTTACATTTTTCCCTAGGTTACGAAGGAAACGTTTGTCTGGAAACCAAACCAGACATTTCAGATTACTCAACCCTAGTCTTGCCTCTTCTTGGAAGGTTAAACGTTAATTACCCTTGACTGAAAGGTTAGGTAAGGTGGTTTCGTAACTTGATTTTCATACTTACAAGCTCATATTTCATTATCTCAACCATACTTGTTTACAGACCTACACAATCTCGGTTAAGGATTTCTCTTGGGTAATTAGGTCTTGAGGATCAGAACTTGAGATTTAACCTTTGACAACTCTGATTTAAGTATCGTATTGCATATTGCCGCTAACACACACAAATACACATACTCATACAATCGAGAAAAAATAACG